GCAAAAGGATTCAATTAAGTAAAAATATATTTGGCAAGGAAATTAATCTTCAACAGTAGACCATTCATTCATTTGTTCATTCAAAAGCTGTTTATTGAGGACCAACTCTGGGGATACGTATGCAAACAAAACAGAAAATATACATGTGATGCATCAGTCAAGTGTTTAGTACATTAGAAAGTTATAAAAGCCATGGAAACAATAGAACAGAATAAGGGAGATTGGGAGTGCTGGGTGAGTTGAGGAGGAGGGTAGACCTCATTAAGAAGGAGGTGCGGGAGTGAGCCACACAGAGGAAGAGAATTCTAGACATAGGAAACAGCTGTGTAAACTTCTCAGGTGGGGTGTTCACAACATTGTGAAGGTACTAAATGCCACTCTATTGTCACTTTAAAATGTTTTGTTATGTAAATTTCACCTCAATAAAAAAAAAATCAGAAGCAAAAAAAAAACAAGAAAAGAAAATTGAGTAGTCCGGCTAAGCCTCATTGAGAGGATACAGTTGGAGCACTGACTTTGAGGAGGTGAGAGAGTTCACCTTGTGGGTGAAGAAGAAGCCATCCAGACAGAAGGAAGAACAAGTACAGAGTAGGAATTGGCCTGATGCATTCAAGGAAGGCTAAGGAGGACCCAGGCTGGAGAGCAAGAGTCAGAGAGGTGATGGGTGGCCTCAGATGACGTGGACCTCATAGCCGCTGTAAGGGTGTTGACTTTTCCTCTGGGTGAGGTGGGAAGACGTTAGAGGCCTGTGTGATTCAACTTAGATTTTAACAGGGTCTCTAGAGCCTCTGTATTAGGAAGAGTCTGAAGAGGGGCATGGCTGGAAGCAAGGAGAACAATTAGGAGCTCTTGTTAAAATCCAGGTGAGAGACGATGGTGGCTCAGACAAGGAAGGTGGCAGTGGACGTGGGGAGAAGTTCTTGCAGGTAGGATGTGCTTTGAAGGTGAAACCAGTAGGCTATCCTGATGGCTTGCATGTCAGATATGGGAGGAAGTGAAGAGTCAATCATATATGGAGAGTTTTGGCTTGAGCAACTGAAAGGATGGAGTTGCCATCTCTGAGATAAGGAAGACTGTGGGAGAAACTGCTTTTCTTAGGGGCGAGACAGAGGAGGAGGTTTGGAGGAGAACAGGGGTTTAGTTCTGGAGATATAAAGGCATTGTTAATTCCAGTTTGTCGTTGAATGTGTACCAGTTTCTTCTAATTTTTGAAGAAGAGAATTGGGTGAGGCCAAAAGGAGGATAGAGGGAGGCAGCTGAGCATTGAGTATCGCTAGAGTTAGGAGTGTGGCAAAGAGGAATCAAAAAGATAAGTGCTTTGTCCAAGGTGGCACAGTGGATGGAGCTGGGCCCAGAGCCTTCTGCTGAGGCTCAGGCCAGGGCACCTAATGCCCTTTGCTTATTTCCCCTTTGCTTACTCTTGTGAGAATTATTGAGAGACAATCTGACCCACTGAAATTCATAAAAGTTTAACACAACAAAAATGTCCTAGCTTTTGACATGGTTTACAGTAAGATCAGGCCACAGATGGTCAGCTCTGGAGTGTGTTAAGAGGCTTACATGCTGGTTGAGCTGTGACACCAGGCAGGACAAATGAATAAGCCTTACATGACAACTTCTAAGTTACGAAATATTTGGGTTCCACATTCCAAATACAAGTGTTTGGCTGTAACTCTGGAAATAAAGAGTTCTTTTTGCCTGTTTGTTTTATATGTTTTAGTGGAAATGTCAGAGTATTAGATTATACATAAGAACATGCAAGATGCCAAACTGTAACCCAAAAATCAGAAAAATTATGGCCAAATTTGGTTAGAGTAACTTTGAAAATGATGACTAGTTCTGAGAAGTCTTTGAAAGAAGGTTTCTGCCAGAGAAACAAGCAGACACTGGAAGATTTCTGACTAACTTTGCAAAAATTCTTGGCTGCTCAAAATGTCTGTTTTATTTATATTAGAAGCCCTTGCTTTTCACATTTTTTCTGTTAAGTTGCTATAAAATACTATACTTTTATGTTGGATGGTGTCATAGTCATATGGTCATAGCCAAATGGTTTAGTTCTTTATAAAGAAGAGGCTTAAGGGAAATTAGACTAGTTTATTTTGTTTAATAACCTAGTCGCAATTTTAAGAAGGAAGCTTGACCCCTCTAATCTCTCTTTTTTAGTTGATATCAGGAAAAAGAAACCTAGGCTTTGAGGTTCAGTAAGTCTAGTTTCACCCCAGCCACAACTTGGCTAAATTGTTTAACCAGTCTCATCCTTGGCTTTTTATTTTAATCTATAAAATTTTGAATGATGTTGGTGATAAGTACCACACAGTATTATACTTTGAATGAAAGGGCTTAATGGTTGAATGGATGACTGAATCATTTTATAATAACTGTTAGACTTTATTAAATGCTTCTGCAAGATTTCATGATGATTATGTTAAAATAATTGAAATCTTATTTTTAATTAAGAAACCTTATTTAAAACTAAGAAACCAATGTGAATGAGGCCTAGCCTGATAAATAAATGACTAAATTTAATAAAATTTTTTAAGAGTTGTTTTAGGATACAAAATATAAGTTCCTAGTCAAGCATAGGCACATTCACGTTTATATTTTTTTATTTAACAAAATGTTATCTAGAGCTTACCATGCCCTGGGCACTGTTCCAAGCTCTTCTACTCCTGATTCTGTGGTCTCACTGCCAAAACTCATATGACCTTGATAACAAGAACTTTGACAACTAAGTCAAAAGTAGCAATGAGCAGATCTAGTTCTTTGAATTTACGCCAAACATCTCACGGCGAATCTCTCAGTGGTGACAGGACTTGGTATCTCTTCCTCTCAGAGCGCATGACTGATGTCTGAAATCTAGCTAAACCCTGCGCAGATAGGGGGGCCTTCTCCAGAGCATTGACAGCCACGGGGTGGGTTGTGGGGTGGGGATGCTCTAGCAAACTCCAAAAGCCTACTAGAACTCTTCTTGTGTGACACCTCCTCTCTTAACCTTCCTCACTGGCGGCAGTGTAACTTCATGACCAGGCATCTAGCCTTTGGAGCCAGCCTGCTTGGGTTCAAATTCTGGCTCTATCTCTGAGCGGTATGTGACTTAGACAAGTTGCCTGTCCTCTCTGTGCCTCAGTGTCCGTATCTGTACAATGGAGATAATAACAATAGCACCTGCCTCACTGGGTGGTGGTGAGAACGAAGGAGTTAAGACATGTAAGTCACTTAGAACTGTGTCTGGCATAGAGTGACTTCTAGAGAAGGCTTAGCTGTTATTATATCATTCTGCTGGTCTGGAATTCGTCCCTGAATCCTTCTAGGATGTGATGAGTTTTAAAAGTAAGTTGAATTTACTCATAATAAAGTCACACCAGTTATGAATAGCTAAAACCAGATTTTGCAATTAACATTTGTTTTACATGGAGCCCAAGAGTTGAGGGTTATGGTTTTCCTTATTGCTGCCCTTGAGGTAGCCTCCTTCCATTTCTCTGAATTCCTTAGAAAAACATCCTTTTCCATCCAAACTGAGAGCCCTACAGGAATTTAAATCTGAGGAGCTGAAATCTGTTTTTGGATGAGACAATGTCACATTCTGGACCATCAACAGAATACTAGCAAGCCCCCATAAAGTCCTGCTTACTTCTCATTGCTTGTCCCCCCCTTTTTGCTTTTGAAACTCTCTGCACCGAAGCTGCCGAAACTGGCTGAGTCTTCCTAACTAGTGTCTGCCAAATTAAGCATCAAGGAACGTCTGGAAGGACAGTCTCAAGGCCCCAAGATTTCAAGATCATTTACACCCCGAAGTATAATAACAGCAGGGCAGTAAACAACAAGCGTTATCCAGCTTGAGAAACTGATGCTCAAATAGGGGGAGGTGATTTGATTACTTCCTATAAAGGGATTATTCAGTGTTGTCCTCGTGTTTAAATGTTTATGCACCAAGGTCAAGAATTCTTGGTACATGATGCACCAGCATTTTGAACAAATAATGAATTTTGGCTAAAAATCAAATTTCAGGGTGGGTGGAGTGGTGAATTGCAGGATGTCTTCGAGTGTTTCTCCTTTAAAATAAAAGAGCGAGTGCATGTGAGGAGGCTGCAAGGAAGGAGCCACGAGACCTGGAAACTCTTCTAACCTCAGTCATTGACTTGGAGTTCATTCCCTTCTGTCCTCCAGTTTGGGTAAGCATCAATTACTTATCTAAAGTTTAATAAAAACCTTTCCACACATGTAAGAAGAAAAGTATCAAAAATTCATGCTTAGTGGAAATGGGCTTTCTTGAAATAAATTAAGGGTTGTTGTGTTTATTCTTCTATTTGTACATTTCCATATTGGCTCCATCCTACCCCTGACTTTTTAAGAAAAAAAGGTATAGTTACATGATTCTTTTGCTAAAAGAAAAAAAAAGTATGTAACTATTTTTCGCAGACCTTCAACTATTCTTAGAAAGCCTTTGGTGAATTGTGGGGACAACTGGGGCAGGGACCAATTGTTGAGGGTTTGATGTAGTGTCCAGGGCAATTATTCGATTAATGTTTTACTCGTCACTTTCCTGTATTACTTAGTTGCTTGGTGAAGACTATTGGCATGTGTGCCTGAGTGTGGGTCACCTGTGTGTGCACACAGCTGCCAGCCTGTGTGGATATCTGTGGTTTTATATTAGCATTTATAATATTGTTATTTTCTAGGGTCTGTTGAGTTTTATGGTTTTAATTTTTTTCAAAAATAGAAAGTCATTTTCTTTCCTCTTAATTTAGCTTCTTTCAGTCCACTGTCAGGGGACTGTGAAATAGCATGACCATTGTAAGGCCTACACGACCCAAAGGTTCAGTAGGAACATGTGCAATGATGCATGTCTGAAACCCTACTGTTATACATATTTATACGTCATAAATACCTGTTGATTGATTAATTCTCCTGGCGTGTATTGAGCAAGTAAAAATCATAGCTGTGAATATTTTGGTTGTGATTTTGTATGATTTATTTTTCAGTAGAGACACTGATAGCTCTTTCCATCTGTAAATCTTAGGGAGCACCATTGACCTCCTAGGGGAGACCTTGACCATCATATGTAACAGATTCAACTTGAATATTCTCAACAATCAGTTACCAAACTTGCTCTAGATTGCTAAACTGAGAATGAGACATTGGGTCTTGGCAATTCTAACAGTTCTTATATATTCCACAGCAGCTAAGTTTTGTAAGTATTGCTTTTCAACTAAAATTTAAAAATTTTTAAATTAATTAATTCCAAGAATGTTTGCCTTGTTTTAAACTGCTTGCTTCCAGCCGTTCCAGCTGAATTCTATCTTGGAATATTCATTTATGCTCTACAGTCATTCTTCATCACAAATCTGTTAGGACAAATTCTTCATAACAAATATATCATAATTTTAGTTTTACATATTCAAATACGTCAAAATTTAACACGATGCCTGCACATAGGATGTATTGTAAGCATTTTAGTTGACTGACAACATTCTTTGTGTAGATAGACATGGCTGCTTTTCCATTTGAGGAGTGTGGGGGGTTTGGCTCCAAACTAATTCATTAATCTGTGGTATCTGTAGAACATTTCATAAGAGATTTTAATCATTTGCTTATTCTTTCTCAAAGTATCACAAAGTATGACCATTTCTAAATTTAATCCTAAAAGGGGATATTAAGAATATAGGAATTGTAATCTTTTGGTATGATCATTTCAGGATCATATTTATGTATATTTTTTATTTGCAGGCAAATCTTCCTGGGGCCTGGAAAATGAGGCTTTAATTGTGAGATGTCCTAGACAAGAAAGATCTCGCTACCCGGTAGATTGGTATTACTCAGAAACCAACAGAAATATTATCACTGAGCAAAGAAATCACATATTTGCCTCAAGGGAACGTCTTAAGTTTCTCCCAGCCAAAGTCAATGATTCTGGAATTTATACTTGCATAATCAGAAGGTACTATCCAGACAGCCAGCATAATCTTTGGGCTGCTCAAGTATAATTGCAGGGACTGGTTTGAAGCCCAGTTAGAAAAAGACCTAGCTTTCCTAGGGACAAGAGAACTGAGCGTGCTCACTCACTTTGGGGTGGAAGTAAGAGCAAACCAGCACAAAAAATAGTGACCCACATGATGGGCATCACAGAGGCCTTGGTAGGGGCAAAAGGGTACTTCCCAGTGCCTTAAACCTGAGAGACAAACTCAAGAGGCTTACCTGAGATTGTGTGCCTGAAAATTACTTCCTCTACATATAAATGTTAAATGCTTTGATTTTGTGCCTCTATTTGGTACATACAAAATGTCTGATGAGCTTCCTCAAAAGGCAGGTGTAGAGTTAGTTGTGTATACTTGTGTGTAGTTAGGTGCCCATGTTCTGAAGTCAGGCAAGTTTTAGTTTCAAATTCATGCCCTGTCACTAGTTAGCTGTGTAATGCCTGCAAGTTATTTCTCTGTCCCTCAGTTTCCTCATCTGTAAAATACATGAAATCACGTAACCCACTTCAAAGCATTGTTTTGAGAATAAAATTAGGTAATGTTACCACCATGAATGGTACACAGTAACCTCTCAATAAATAATATCTTTATTATATCAGGTTCTTGGCATTATAGCAGATACAGTGTATAAAGAAATGGTGAGGGAGCCATTTTTAGGGCTACCGTAGGGGTTATGTTTTATCTCAAATGTAACAAAAAAGTATTTAAAACTCTAGATTTTAATGATCATTTTTAAATAAGAAAAGAACCATTATATATCAATTATTTTGAGAAGAAAAGCAATATTAAGTAAAAGCTAGAGTTGGATGAAGTTATTTCATAATGCTAAGTAACTTTTTAAAATTATTTGATTTTAATAGTTCTACCGTCAATAAGACTGGATATGTGAATGTCACCATATATAAAAAACAACCAGATTGCAATATTCCAGATTATCTGATGTATTCAACAACATCTGGATCAGAAAAAAATTCCAAAATATATTGTCCTACAATCGACCTCTACAACTGGACAGCGCCTGTTGAGTGGTTTAAGGTAAAAGGAAATTTGGGGGAAATAGAGGAAAATTACACAATTAAAACAGATGCAAGTGAAGAATTACTGAAAATGGAATGGAATTTTTCATTCCAGGATTGTAAAGCTCTTCAAGGGTCAAGATACCACACACACAGGACATTTTTGCTGATTGACAATGCAACCAGCAAGGATGCAGGTGATTATACGTGTAAATTTATGCACAATGAAAATGGAGTCAGTTACAGTGTGACAGCAACCAGATCGTTCACAGTTAATGGTAAGTTACTGAATTTAACAAAATGGAATATTTGAAAAAAGATAACATGAGAGAAATGGTAGCCTTCTTGTTGATTTTTCTGTACTTCATCCTCCTCCCTGAAACTTCCTCCTACTTCATCTTACACCTTCTCTACAATGATGGAAAGAGATTTTCTAACTGCACTATCAAGCTTTAAGAAATTTCAGCAGGAGATTATGCTACTAAGCCAAAGCCACATGTTCTCTCCTCTATGACTTAATTTTTCAAAGACAATGTGATATGAATGATAACTTAGTTAACTTTTTTGGATGGCTATACAACTATTTGGAGGGCAAGGTTAACTTTCCTTCTCCCAATTTGTTGTCAGAGGTTCTGTTAATAGAAAAATACCTATTTGATCTCTAATATAACTAACTGGATTAGAAGTTTAGTGAGAAGCTTTTTAAAGGGATACATAGATGTTGTTGAGTGGTTTTCAATCCTGGTTTGCAATGGTTTCGACATCATCAATGACCTCAAGTAGGTCACTTAATTCTAAAAGATTTTTTCAAATTTATTAAGTTCTATAAAAACCTGTTCAAGGGCAAGATTTTTACAATCAAGTACATCAAATCTCCAAAGAGTCAAGGTCTCCTTAGCATAGTTTGAGCTATGGATGTAGGTCAAGTAGCAGGTGTGTGTGTGCCAGATTTCTTAGAGCAAACCAGCAATAGAGAAAAGTTTTGTTTGGGGTTTTTCAGTGCTCCGCCACTCTCAAATAGGCATTGCCAGACCACATTTCTATGAGAGCCTCTCACTGTTTAACATCAAAACCTGCAAGGGTCCCTCATCACACTCTCCTGAAATAAATGAGAATCAAACAGTACTCCAGATGACTCCTTTTTCCTTGTCTCTAGGCATCAGTGTCACAAGAATTAAGATCTCATAGACTGGGCCACAAAAGTGGAATGCTGTGGGCAGGAGAAGTGTGGACTGAGGTGTTTGTCATTTTCATGGGTCTTGTGAAATCTTCTTCCCTGTAGTGTTATGCTTATTCTGTAGAATTGCGGTTTTCTAACAACTGCTAGGTCATGCAAATAATTTACTGGGTTGAACTAACATTCGTTTTAATGATATAAAAGAGAATAAAAAATATCACAGAGTATTGTAGGCAGTAAAAGAAAGTATTACTTGAATGTTTTGGTTTCATTTGTGTGTGTATTTGTTGCCATGGGTTATTGTCAGAAAAGTTTGACAAACATTGCTTTGAAATAGCATAGAAATATGAAAACCTAAGGTTTATATTGATGACCACCCAAAGCTCCCCTAATATTTATATTCTCTTTTTGTCTTTGATTTAAGATGAGCAAGGATTTTCTTTGTTTCCAGTAATTATAGCCCCTCCACAAAATGAAACAAAAGAAGTGGAAATAGGTAAGAAAAATTTAAGAGTGCTGTAAATGTTGCCTGGAAAATCCTTCCCTATGACCCCTGAATTCCCCAAACCAGGGTCAGGCAATTGGCATAGTAGATCTTGAGGATTAAATGAGATGCCGTGAGCGCTAATGTTGGGAATGTGTGGTCACAGCAATACGCAGCATGTACATTTGCATCACACTTTGTAACTCATGGTGCTTTCCTGTGTGCCATCTCATTTCATTCTCACTCTGTCCTGGAGGTAGGTATTGTTCTCACTTTATGCTTGTGGTTACTTAGGCTCAGAGAGCATCAAAGACGTGCCCAAGGTCATGGATAATCAATGATAGAAGGATGAGAACCCAGACTTTCTGACTCTGTCCTTTCCTGGTTCCTCGCTAGTAGTGGGCTACAACTCAAAGTTCTTAGCATGTAAAACAATGACCTGGTCCTCACCCAATCCTGGCCCATCTGCAATTAACCCCATGTGCCCTGCGTCCCCACCCCATTGACCACCTCACGGTTGTTACAGTGATCTGCAGCATTTCCACATTCTTCCCTGCTTTTGTGCGTATTGTTCCTCCTTCTAATCTCTCAACACTAAGCTCAAATATCACCTCCTCTGTGAAATCCCCCATACCACCCTCCTTACCTGCCAGAGAGCACGACCTGAGCCTCCATCTGATCAAGTCCAGGGGCACCATTTACATGCTCAGCGCGGCAGCCGTGCTCACTGCAATGATATCCCCCTCTGTATTCCCATGTCACTTTGTCAATCTTTCTATTAGAACACTAGAATAGCTTGGGTTCTAATCATTTGTTTATATGCTTGTCACCTTCCGAGAGACTCTTAGCTCCTCGTCCCTCTTCAGATGCCTAATTCTTGACACAGGTACCAAGGGCTCAGTAAGGATGGCTGAATGCATGTCCCAAGGCAGGAAGGCAGCCCTTATGCTTTCAGTTCTGAAAGGAGGAAGTCTCAAGTTAAAGGAATTGGAAAGGAGAATGCTCTTGTTGGATGATTAAATACTGGGCTTGTAGCTGGGTCAGGTAAAACACAGTTTTACCAGGGTCGGCCGGGTGGTGCAAGTGGTTAAGTGTGCGCGCTCCGCTGCAGCGGCCTGGGGTTCACCAGTTCGGATCCCGGGCGCACACCGATGCACTGCTTGTCAGGCCGTGCTGTGGCGGCGTCCCATATAAAGCGGAGGAAGATGGGCACAGATGTTAGCCCAGGGCCAGTCTTCCTCAGCAAAAAGAAAAAAAAGAGAGGAGGATTGGCAGATGTCAGCACAGGGCTGATCTTCCTCACACACACAGACAAAAAACAAAAAACAAAAACAGTTTTACCAACGAAAGTAGCTTATAGAGAGATGAAGAGAATTTGGTAGGAGGAGAAAGGTGTGGGAGAGAGAATTTAAAAAGAAATTCCAGTCTATAGTAAAGGGAAAGCCTACATTTTAACATGGGATTGATGAAGCCGGAGTCATTTGCCTCTTTAGTTCCCACTGCATGTGAGAGGGGGGTGGGATCTGAGCTTCAACTGGAACTGAGTGAAATGAAGCTCATGGGAGAGACGGAGGAGGCAACGTGAGGGCAGAGGACGATGGAGGTGCTAAAGACGAGGAGGGGACACAGGAATCAACTCATGATGCACACTAGCTGTTCAACAATTTTTTTTCACATTAAATGAAATTAAATGCTATTTGCAGAATTTAAGTTTATTGGTGTAATTTCTTTACTTCTCCTCTAGGAAAAACAGCCAACCTCACTTGCTCTGCTTGCTTTGGGAAAGGCTCTCAGATCATGGCTTCCGTCCTGTGGCAGGTGAACAGAAGCAGAGTTGGGGACGTTGGTGAAGCAAGAATTCAAGAGAAGCAAGACCAAAACCAAAGGTATTTTGATACTGAAGTGAAAACATCCCCCTCCCCTCCCACACAGTTTGCAACTGCAAAGTAAGCACTGAAAGTAACAAGTTGCCTTCTTAGTTCTAGCAATGAGCTGACTTGTCTAAACACCGTGCTGACAATAGCTGCTGTGACAGAAGAGGATTTATCGCTGAAGTACGAGTGTTTGGCCCTCAATTTGCGTGGCTTGAGAAGGCACAGCATAAGACTAAGGAGGAAAAGTCCAAGTAAGGAGTGTTTCTGAGACTGGTTACTCGAGTTTGCTGCCTCGATTGTAAGCTGAAATCATTTTCTTAGAGAACAGTGTGTTGGAATGTGGTTCCAGAGGGATCTAGCAAGACAACGGAAGTGGCTCGTCTCATAAAATATTCTTCTCCTCTTGGCAACACTGACCAATTGCAGTCTGGGCTTCTCGGAATGTCTCTGTGTGTCTGGTCGCCTCTGTACTGTGTTACTCGCCCCCCCCCCCCCCAGCTCCTCTCCCACCTACTTCTCTTGCTGGTTCCTCTTTGACACCCAACTGCTTCCTTGGTCATCCTTCTGTGCTCTCTAACTTCATTAGCTCTCTCTGTCTCACTGTATGTGAAAAAAAAACACACCAACCGTAACCTGTGAACACATTCTTTTGTTACCTTTATAACTTTCATAACATGTTATAAACACGTTCCCTTTTTTGACTTAATTTTTTGTCATAAAGAACACACATTTTTTTTAGCGAGGCTGGCAAAGAGGACGAAAAGGTGACTTATTTAACTATTGCCCATTCTAGTAAGAAAATCTTAAATGCTGCTTTGTAATAAGACATGCATTATCATTGTTAAACTTTATAATATGTTAAATTTAGGTGGAACTCATGCGACGTTTGGTAGCTCAGCCCGTTTCTGTATTGTGTCTGCTTTCAACATGCAATTCAGGTACCACCTCTTCCAAGGAGCCTTCCTTGACTGCCAGTTTGGATTATATACATCCTCTATGTTTTCTTATAGAGTTCTGTCTATATCACTGCACTCATCACACTTACAAAAATCTGTTTGAGAGTCTGCTCAACACGACTGTAAACTCCATGAGGGCAGGGGTGGCATCTTACCCATCTTTGCATCCTCAGGCTGTACTGCAGTGCCTGGCACCTAGCATGTGCTCAGTAAATATTTGTTGAATGAATAAATGAATGCACACCAAAGTTATCAAGGAAAACTATTTTTGTGTATTTCTATTTCTCTAGCTATAAGGCTTAGTTACACAACAAAACAATAACTTATATTTATGTTTGTTAAGTTGAATAACTTTCCTCATAAATTGGAAAGGCCAAATTATTTATTGCTTCCCTATAGTTTATGGTTTTATCTAAATGTAGCATGCTTTTACTGATTTCATTATAATTTGATGCAATAAAATACTATAACAAATATGAAATGACTACTCTTCAATGGATTAATTTCAGACACTATATATAATCTTTTAAAATGTAGCATGCTGGGGCCAGCCCGGTGGCATAGTGGTTAAGTTTACACGATCTGCTTTGACAGCCTGGGGTTCACAGGTTCGGATCCCAGGGGCGGACCTACACACCGCTCATCGAGCCATACTGTGGCGGCATCCCGCATATAAAATGGAGGAAGATGGGCACAGATGTTAGCTCAGTGACAATCTTCCTCAGCAAAAAGAGGAAGATTGGCAACAGATGTTAGCTCAGGGCCAATCTTCCTCACCAAAAAGAAAAAAAAATTAACATGCTCTTTCACAAATAATTGGTGGCATATGGAGGCAAGGTAGAGCAAGTGATCTGTCTGGGTGTAGGCAACAGGAGGATACATGGTCTGTAGAGAATTCAAAACAGTAATAAAGCCATCAAAGAGTCATTGTGCTTTCTATTATCCGCATTCCCAGAAAATGTTAAAGTCAGTGATGACATAGTCCTCCTCTCGGCGGCAGACTGCTTCTTCCTCCCACCCCCTTGGCGTGTCACTGCATGCAATGATGTCAGCAAAAATCATTTTACAAGCATTTCCTTCCTGAGAGCCTCTCAATTTCCTCACTCGTTTGCATTTCCAGGCAAAGACATCCTGTTTGCTACATGAAGCATTTAATTCGGTATAAAAGGACGAGGAGAAAAATATGATATTTTTATACTTGTCATTTCATGTACAACTATATAGAAATTATTTAATGTGTTTGTCAAGTAGCCAAAGGGAGAATTAAACTCTGTTTATGCTCCTAAGTGGGGCGTAGCCCAGATTAATTTGGATCAACCCACAAAGGTACAACATGATGAAAAGGATTGGGGATCATGAGAAAGCAGACCACCAATTTGATGTGGTTGTGGTAAGTCTTGGCCTGCCATGGTGCTTTGGTATTTTTCTTGTTTTAATTTCCATGTTAACGGTTGATTTGTAAGTTTTTATAGGACAAATAGAATCATGACTACTGTAAATGATTTTAAGTGCTATCGTGTTCTGTGGGTTGTCAGGTTTCCGCCAATTATAACTGTGTCACCCGGAACATGTGGACCACATCATGTTAGGGCAGTGTTTGTGGGGCTGGTGGGCACAGTGGATCCCAGAGGAAAGGGGAAGCCACACTCTGCACCGGCACTGCCATCACATCCTTATCCCCATGATTTGCTTATGTTGTCATTTAAGAATGTTCTTTGGTTACCTGTGTATTGGAATTGTTTTCATGTTACATGTTCTTGCTGATTTTGTTCCTTCTAATTTATTTGTACTTGCTACTTTTCACCTGTTTTTCTTCAAATCAACACAGCTATACTCTGTTTCAACAAGTGTGTAAATTAAACAAAAATTGTTGCTACTGCTGTTGAATTGTCACAATGAATTCCTTTATTTCTATTCAAAGAATAAAAGAAATTACAGCACTGACTAGAATTTTAAAAACAAAAACTTAAAAAGCCTATGCCTCAATATTATTAAATAAATATTTGATGCTCATAACAACACTACACATTTATTCATTATTTCCTATGTACCAGGACCTGTCTAATTACTTTTCATTTAATTTCTCATTTATTTTACCAATACTCCATAAAGAAGAGACTATCATCTAATTTTTTTTTTGGTGAGGAAGATTGGCCCTGAACTAACATCCATTGCCAATCTTCCTCTTTTTGCTTGAGGAAGATTGGCCCTGAGCTAACACCTGTGCCCATCTTCCCCTATTTTGTATGTGGGATGCTGCCGCAGCATGGCTTGATGAGCGGTGTGTAGGTCTGCGCCTGGGATTCAAACCTGCAAACCCCAGGCCACCGAAGTGGAGCACACAAGCTTAACCACTACGTCACCGGGCTGGCCCCACGATCATCTAACTTTTTAGATGAGGAAACTGAGACAAAGAGAGGTTGAATAACTTGCCAGGTGCTAGAGTCAGAGAGCCAGGATTCAAACGCAGGCAGTGTTTTCCTGTTTACAAGCACGTACAGAAAGTATTTAGTATTTAGTCATCACATGCAATAATTAATTATACATTTATAAAGTCACTAACACTTAGAAAGATATTGAACTTCAACTTCCTTCAGTGTCTTGGATTGACTTCTTTCTTCTAGCTGAAAACAGCCAGCCACATGCACAGCTATACCTCACAGCAATCTGTACAAGAAATATAGATGCCCAGCGTGCATCCAGATAGGATTTTTAGAAAGTGAGCTAGAGAAGAATCCTGCTGAAACGATTAACTTAGGGAGTATTTTTCATTTAAACCGATGACAGTGCAGACAATAAGCTCTCTGCCAGTTTTCAGTCTGTGCCCCCTAGTTTTGAATCACTTCACCTTAGTCATTCTTGATTTCATGGTGCTAGATACTCAGGGAGCTGATGAAACATTGGAGGAATTTGCAAACATGGGACAGTGACTTTCAGTAGCAAAATCGGGAGCCCATGCTTTGAGACTTCAGATGAAAAGGAAAAGAGAACTATGTGGCCAAGTGTCAGCGAGATTCTTCTCACATTCATCTTTAAGTGGGACTATTTGTAAGATAGGATAGTTAACAACTCTAAAGAGGGAAGTAAACTTAAAACAGCCAAAGATACTATTAATGAGCACAGTTCTTATGTTCAATTTGTGCATACCTATTACAAGTTCTTGGAGATGGAGACCATCTTGCATATATATTTTGTGAAGCGATGAATACAGGATAAAAGTTCAGTGATGGCTAAATAACGTTCACCATAAGAGAAATAAAGGGTATGTGTAGGACCTGGAACCCAGTAATTTGACTTCTCCATCAAATATGCTTTAGAGACTTACATGGCTCTTGTTTCTTGCCTGCTTTCCTATGCCACCCACCCCAGGTGCAATGAGTCCCCAAGACCTGTTGATTCTTTCTCCTGGATGCCCCCAACAGCAGGCTTGTCCATTCCTTTCTCATTACGAGTTTGAACCCTCCTCATCCCTCACCCCATGTACTGCAGAAACTTGCCGTCTCATTCTACTCCGTGTATCTACAGAGTAGGTGTCCTTCCACAGAAACAAACCTCCCACTACTGTCAGATTAATCTTGCTTGAAAACCACTTTCATTGTTAATACCCTCGATACTCTTCGGTGGTTCCCATGACCTTCAGAATAAAGGCAAAATGATTTATTGGAGCCTCAAGTCTGGTCAGAACCTAGCCCTGACCCACCTTTCTAATCATTTCTTCCACTATTTCCCCAAATTGGATTACTCCAGTTCCTCAGAAAACACACTCTCACCTCTGCCCTTGGGCTCACAGCATCCTGTCTTGCCAGAAGTACATTTCCTTTTTTGCAGCTACCTGAAGCTTACCTATCCTTCAGGAACCTCCTCCTACAGGAAGCCTTCATTGCCCAGTCCAGCATGGAATGAGTGCTTCTAAACACCTCTGCCAGCTGAAATTAATGCTTTTACCTCCTATCTTAGTTAAATTTGCACGTGTCTCTATGTCTTTTATGCTTTGAGTATCCGCTACAACGTCTAGCCTGGTGCCTTGCACAGAGGAGGGGCTCCAAAAATGTTCACTTACCGATTCTTACAGCAGCCACGACAATTCCAAGTAGGCATCTCATGTCTGAATCTCATACTCCCAATGGAGGCCAGCATTGATGTATTTGTTTTTTTTTACCTTGTTTTAGTAATAATAATGATCATTTTTGTCCTCGCCCTCTCTTTTGAATAGCTGATCATCAAAGCACCTACTACATACTTGCAGGATTTAGCATATTGTTAATGCTAATCAACGTCATGGTGATAATGTTAAAAGTATTCTGGATTGAGGTTATTCTGCTCTGGAGAGACATAGCCAGACCTTACAAAACTAGGAATGGTAAGTGGCAAGTTTCAAGTTTTTCTTCAAAAGAAAAGGTCCCATAATTGCTGTTGGTTACTTGTCTATTAATCTCTTAATAGCTGGGCTACTAAACCCAGATTCCCTTTTGCTTGCTAATATAGTATCAGTAAATCTTTTCTGCGTCTACTCAGAGAACATTCTCCATCCTGCCTTAGTGCCCCTCATGGTTCTGAGATTCATCTCAACAGCTCAAATATCCTCTCCGATAGGATTTCTGTCCTATGAACTCCCCGATAACAGAATCTTCCCAAGCCGAGAAAGGTTTAAACATTTTGGAAAATGTGTATTGGTAAAACTTTATGGAATTCAAAACATTAACAAAATTGTTCCTGTTTTCCAGATGTGACTAGATTAGAAAGGTCCATCAGAATGCAGGTGTATTTTACCAGAAACCCTGTTCCATACAGAGTCTTACCCATGCACGTATGCATGTGCATCAAAGAAGACAGTTCTGCCTGCTAAGTAGGAACACCATTCTTTCATTTGGAAGCAGATATACGTCAGATTTTCCATATGGTCCACTCAAATAAGGGCTAATTGTTTTATTTGTGGGAAACCCAGCCCCTTAAAAATTCTATCCTCTTGCCACTATTAGCCTTTAGCATTTTCACTTGCCCGTGGGAAGCATGGGGAAAACAAAAGATAAAACTGAGATCTATCCAGCACAGAAGAAGACCCCTTATCCATGACTATAAATACTTATTTTAATAGATTATTAATCAAAATTGACAATATGGTTTGAACTATACAGGACAGGATCTTGCCTATTCTCCATCATTCAGTTTGAGACAGTAAAAAGAACTTGGGGATTAAGTCTGATTTCCTGATGACATTTTGTGGCTGTAGGTTGTTGTCCTCATCTCTGGATTCTAGAATATTTTAGGGGATGGGATACACTCATCAGCTCAGTGAAAGAATGTTTACTAAGAGTCAAATGAGAATTTTAAAAAACCAAGTAATATAGTTGTACTTCTTGTTCTCATTTTCAGATGGAAAGATCTATGATGCTTATGTTATCTACCCGCGGAACCACAAAGATAGTCCAGAGGGGACCAGTTCTGTGGAGTACTTTGTTCACCAGATTCTGCCTGATGTTCTGGAAAATAAATGTGGCTATAAATTATGCATTTATGGGCGAGATCTGCTACCTGGAGAAGGTGAAGCTACCATATTTCAGGGCCAGAAATTCACGTTCATCAGAAGGCTAAGAGATAGGTGGTCTTACCTCTGCACTGGATAGGAATTGCAATTATTATTCCAGTCCTTATGAGCAGAGCTTTTAAGTATTTCTCTAGAAGAAGGAGACACTTACTCTTTGCTCCCCCTGCCGCTATCGCCACCCCCATATGAAGTCTTCACAGTAGCGTCAGTTATGTGAAGACAGGGTAAGGCGTCCTTGCTGTGTGGATTATCAGGGCACTGCCCCTACTTTACTTCCTGTGTCCTCCACTAGGATAACTCTGACATCTCTTAAGTCCCTCTAGAAGATTTGAAGGAAGACTTAAAAATCAAAGAATTTTGTTCTAATGTCCAGAGGCATTGGCTAAAAGATCTGAAAGGACTCAGCAAGTCTTCATGATTTTCCTTATATTGGTAAAACATTTGCAAATTTATATTCTTACAAGAACAAATAGAACTGTGTCTCCCGTTTCCTCATATCCCTTGCTGATTTCAGGTACTTTTGACAGTTGTGTCACAATTCCAGCATTTCGGTAGTTGCTCAGCTCTTCCCTCCATATTTATGTCAAGTACCTATGACCCCTCCTGGGAACCCTTCTTGAATTCCTCAGAGACCAGAAGGGTTTGGAATGTGAATGAGGCAGGGACATCATGAGCATAAGTCCAGAAAAGTAAATGTTTAGTAGACTGTGAATTTCAACTGGCATTCCTCCTGAAAAGAGGGAGTCAAGTGCCTATAGATTTAAAGGTATGCACAACAGGTGAATTTGGTTTGTCCTGGAATATTTTGGTAATGTTAAGAGCCGAGTAACGGCTTGGGAGACTTGTAAATGTACAATTCAGAAAAATGTAATCTGGGTCTTCTCTTGAGGCTTTCTTCTTCCCCCAGCGGTCCCCACTGGCTACCCATGCAAGTAGAGACTAATGAGTCACGGCGCTCAAACGCTCTCTTCATGTTCCACATCTGCTCAGGATGCTGCAGAGACTCCAATTGTTTGTCACGTCACACCATGTGCTACATGTGGCCGCAAGTCCTTCATCTCTTGTTTCTCAGGTCGATCAACCTCATTTCTAGTTACCCCTTTCCCCAGCCAAACGTGAATGCCAGCTCACTGATGCTCAAGCTTGCGTTGCCTTTCTTGTGCTACTTTTCATTTGGAAAGGTTTCCCACTTTCCCTGCCTTAAGTACATCCTCTGACCTTTCCTCAACCAAAGTAAAATAAAATCCAACAAAACAACACCAAACTTCACTCTTCCCTTACAAAAAGTTTATGACTGACTGATGCTGTGTATTTCTTCCCGTGCTTGCTATCTTCCATTCGCTTCTTCAAATCCACTCTGCATCCTCCTCCATCCAGAAGACCTGGGTGGTCGATCATTATGGAATCCATCACTCTCTTGCCCTCTGCTCCATGCTGGCTTTGGCCAGTGGGAAACACTGGCAGAGTTCAGAGGGCAGGCACATCCCCGCCCCCCTCCAGGTGGAGTTGCCAGGTTAGCTGTGCTCCTCTTCCTTGAAGCACGGGCTCCTGTCAGTTGGCTTTTCTCAGGCATTTGCACTCCTTGGGTTCCATAACTGCTTCCTCCCCTTCACGCCAGGAGGATGGTAATGGATCCCTGGTGTTGCCAGTTGTAGGGTTCTGCACCATCTCTTGTTGATTTTCCTTGGCTCTGCCCATGTCTTGCATAAATTGACCTTTCATTAAACTCTCTTTAGCCAGTCCTTTTGAGTGTGCCAAATGTTCTGTTAGGTTCCTGACTGACACAAAGTCTCTGTCTGGCCCTATTAAACATTCATTTCCTTATTTCCGACTACTATAGGAATTGGCAGTCTTTTAGCCGCTGCTCTCTAAGACCATCTTGAGTTGTTTTGTTCATGATTACATTTCCTTAATCATGCTGTGACCTCCTTGCAGTGAGAACTGGGTGTTTTACATGTTCTTTCTAAGTCCTCCCAAAAGTTAACTGAAATCACCATGCCTTGATGCTCCACAAACCCTGAGTTGATAAGGGGATTTGGTCTTTCTTAAGATTTTTCTGGTCTGGATCAAATCAGCTTCTAAAACAGAGACTATTGAGGGGTGAGGTAGATCCAGGACTTTGCTAGAGACTTTAGTCACTTCAGAGGAGCAAGGTTTCCTGAGTTTGCATTCTTTGAGAGTTAAAATTCCAAGCCCTTTTAAAACATGTAAGCTAATGTTCTAAGAAGAAATGTAGCTAATGAACCTGAACTAAGTCTCCCACTAAATCCTTCTACGTTCTCATTTAACTGGAAGAACTGTTTTAGTTAGCACTGCTCTACCTGGGAAAGAAGAGGGCCTTAGAGCTAATGTTCTCATGGTGAAACGGGTAAGGCGAACACAACGGGTCTCTATCCGAGTACATTCCCACTTTCCTGAATAAGCGAATTGATCACTGTCAGAATCTCACACCAGATTATAACAATGATAGATTTTTAAAAATTCAGAGCACTTATGATCAAAGCATTAGACTTCAAAATGCAACAATAGGAAATCTTACCCATGTCTTTCATTCCTAGATGCAGTCACTGCAGTGGAAACCAACATACAAAAGAGCAGGCGGCACATTTTTATCCTGACTCCTCAGATCGCGCACAGCAAGGAGTTTGCCTACGAGCAGGAGATCGCCTTGCACAGTGCCCTCATCCAGAATGACTCCAAGGCAATTCTTATTGAAATGGAGGCTCTGAGCAAGCCAGGCAGACTGCAGTTTGGGGAGCTTCAAGACTCCCTAAAGCACCTCGTGAAAGTGCAGGGTACCATCAAGTGGAGGGAAGACCACGTGGACAGCAAAAGGTCCCTGAATTCCAAATTCTGGAAGCACGTGAGGTACCACATGCCTGTGCCAAGCAAACCTCCAAAAAAGACCTCCAGTTTGGCTTCCTTGAGTGCCCACCGGCAGGAGTGCTTGATTTGATGTGCTAAAGCACCAGAATTTGTAGATCCAAACTCCTCCTAGTGGGGTTAAACCGCTGTATAGACACTGGGAACTGAGCCTGAGAAGTAGGTATGCCAAGGGTATTCAGGCCTCAGGTTCCTTCTGGTAACTTTACTTCTGTTTTCCTGATTCTGGGTGGATGCAAAATGCCCAGAAATTTTTGTCTTCAATCCCCCTTTCTGCACCCCACATTTATTTCCCCTCTTCCCTTTGCTGGTCTTTCTCCATTGTGGCGTAGGATCTTTTCACTACGTTCTTTTTCTCTTTCTCTCTCTCTATCTTGTTCTCCCTCTCCTCATTCCTTGTCAATAGTCTACATTCTGAACATCAAACTAAAAGTTTTTCAGTTAAATTTTCATGTAGTCTTGAAGAACACTCAGTTTCCCTCAAGCAGAACGTGGGTAGCAAGTCTTGTTCCCAAGATGCCAATTTGATCAGATGCTTAGTTCTATCATCTCAATATTGTCCATTTTGTTGGAGTACCTTATCTCAATTGTCATTGTAATCAAGTTTTTTTCAGTTCTAAAATTTCTTTTGTATATTTTTATTCTCTTTAGAAATATTTTTTCTCACTATAAAAGTGATAGAAGTGCATTGTAGAAGAATGGAATGTATAAAAGAAGAAAATAAAACTCATTCATAAATGCATCATCCTAAGGTTACGACTTTTAAACATTTTGGTAAATTTTCTTGTATTTTTAAAAATTTTAATTCATACTTAAACATACCATTTATATAGCTGAGATTACATAGTGTGTAGTTTTTGTGTTTTTTTCCTACTTAACATCATGATAAAAGCATTTGACATGTCATTGAAATTTGAACATTTTAAAATATTCATAGTGTTTCATCTCATGGTTGTGCTGCAGTTGACATACCTAATTCCTCATTGTTAGATATTTAAGTCGTGTCCAATTTAAATAGACATCTTTATAAATAATTCTACAATGACCATGTCAGAATACCTGCCAATTAAAAAAAATTTTTTTTCTAAATTGAGAAACTTCGTTTGTTGTAACATTTCTACAAAATTAGTGTGGCAATTTGGCACAACTGTTTTGGCAATACTGAAGTTAATTTTCACAGTCAAGGCCACTCCCATCAGTTTCCTGAAGGAGATCACATGCCATCAGGGGCCAGAGAGCCCATCAGTGGATCCAGAGCTAAGCCAGTGTCCACTTAGGCTCCTATTGGAGCCTCAAATTTTGCAAGTAGATGGAGAGCCTACCCTCAGCTGAGTTGCTTAATAAAATGTATGATTCCATGTTTAACTGGCAAAAGAAAACTGCATTCCAGATCCTTGACGGGGAGTGTAGTCTTCAACTCACTGTCATTCAGTACCATACAGAATCTTGCCTGAAAAGAAATATTTCTGGAAGGTTGCCTAAAGGCTCTGTAGCTACTCATCCGTCTAGATACCCTATGATCTAAATCTGTAATCCCTGGATTAGAGTTGCCAGGTGAAAGACAGGACATCAGTTAAAGTGAATTCAGACAATGAAATTTCATCTGAAATTGATCTGAAATTCAAATTTAGCTGGGTGTCTTTTATTTTTGTTTGTTAAATCTAGTTACCCTACTCTGGGAGATTATTGTGCTTTTATGTGGTGACATCTGATTTTATTGAATTACTAAAAAGTTAGCCAATGAAAAATATGCAGTATAGTTGATGGGTTAACATCATAGAATTTGGAATCAACACATCCTCCTCAGCTATCAGCCAGCTGTGTGACCATGAGTAAGTCATTTAACTTCTCCAAAACTTAGTTACCTTAGGTAAAATGAAAATAATCATACCAAACTCTTTGTATTTCTGTGCTGATCAAATGAAAAAAAAAGGAATTATTTGGACCAGAGTAAAAATTCAATAAATAGCAGCAGTTGTTATGACACTTCACATGTTTCTTGTATTGTGGATTATATTCCATTCCTCTCTCAGTGAAGACCTCTAAAGAATAAACTCTTTCCAGTCTCACTATCAGGAATAGATGTGCCTTTATTCTTGCTTCCCCATCCAACCAGAATGACAGATGTGTTTTTGATTTATGGACACAAGGAATTTTAAAAATGATTTTATTTCCCTCTTTACATTAGCTACTTGAAAGCATAGAGCCAAATCTGAGATCTTTCTACAGCAAGTATATAGCATATCATAACAAGGAATTTATAATAATCTCTTCCCTTGCTCCATAATATCTTTGTTTTTGATTTGTCCCTATTTCTTATTTTTAAATATATTTTAACTGTCTGTGTTATGAGCTCCTTTGCAAATACTCAACAACCATTTACGTTTTCTGAAAGTGTGCTGAGTATCTATTGGGGGGTACAGGGAGAGGAAGGGCTGTGAAGGGACATATGTAGGTAAATAAGGCACACACCTTACTTACCATATGGGGTTTCGAGTCCACTGTGGGAACGTGGAAAGGAGCGAGCAACATTCCAGAGAACCCAGACAGGGCAGGGGAAACTCGGACATTGCTGAGGTCTTTTTTCCATCATCCCTTTTCCTAAACTTACACCCACCTCCCAAGTCACTGGAGGTCTCTGGGCCTCAGATTCTACAACTGAAAAATGGGAGAATGGAGAAGAAAAGCTCAGAGCGTTCTCTCAGCTCCAATAACCCATGATACCAAGCTGCCTACCCATAGAGAGGTTGGGGAGCTGCCGGAAGACCTGGCTTCTCATACCAGCAGCACCACTAACCTCTCTCGGTTTCTTCATCTCTACAGTGAGGGTAATAGATGCTTCCCCTACCACACCAGGCAGTGTGAACAAAATGAATTCAGCCAAAACCTGTTGGGTGTTTATCAAATGATCATGTAAAAACTCCTGTGAATTATAAAAACACAAAGAATTATCTTTAATTGAGTCAAATTTGCACTCAATAAAATGCAGATCCTAAGTTTGATGAGTTTTGACAATTACACATACCTGTGTAGTTATCACCTGAAACAAGAGAGAAATAGTCCCATCACCCCAGAAAGTTCCCTCCTGCCATTTCCCCGTCACTCTCTCTCCTTCCTCAGAGGCAAACAATGTTCTGATTTCTATCTCCATGGATTCATGTTGTCAGGTCTTGAAATTCATATCAATAAAGTTGGACAGCATTGTGTCTGGCTATTTCCACACAACCTAACAATTTTGGGATTCATCCATGTTTTGCATGGGTCAGTAGTTTGCTCCTTTGTGTTACGGAGTCACATTCCATCATATGGCTATACAACAGTTTGTTTAAACATTTCCCTGTTGATGGACATATGGGTTGTTTCCCACTTACAGCTATTATGAATATGGCTATTATGAACATTCTTGTGGACATGTGTTTTATGTCTTTTGAGTGAATACCTAGTAGTGGTCATGGGGTAGGTGTATATTTAACCTTTTAAGAAACTGACAAATTGTTTTTGCAAACTAATTGTACCATTTCACATTCTCACCAGTTATGTATGAGATTTCTGTTCCCCTACTTCCTCACCAATGATTGGTATTGTCAGGTTTCATTTTGTCTCAGTTATTTTAGTGGTTGTTAAATGAATCTCATTGTAGTTTTAATTTGCAGTTCCCTGATGATTAATGGTGTTGAGCTTTCTTCACGCTCTTATTGGCCATTCATATATTATTCAGTGAAAGGGAAATCTTTTGCACATTTTTAAATTGTATTGTTTGTCTTCATATTGTTGATGTGTAGAAATTATTTATATATTCTGGATACAAGTTTTTTTTTCAGATAGATGTAAGAATTTTTCCAGGCTTACCTATTCATTTTTTTAATGGTGTCATTGATTAGTAGACATTTTTAATTTTGATGACATCCAGTTTATCAATTTTTCTTAATGGTTATTGTTTTCTGTGTTCTAAGAATTTTTTTTTTACCTACCCTGAGGTCATAAAGATATTCTCCTATGTATTTTATGAAATATTTATGGTTCCAGCTTTTATGTTTAGGTCTATGGTCCATTGTGAATTCATACTTGTATGTAGAATGAGGTAAGGGTCAAAGTTCATTTTTTTTTTCATAGAGATACCCAGTTGTTTCAGCAACATTTGTGAAAAACTTTTCTTTCTCCATTAAATTGACATGGTGCCTTAGTCAAAAATTAATAGACTCTGTATGTGTAGGTCTATCCTTCTACTCTCTATTATTTTCCATTTATATGCTTATGCAAATATCACACTGTCAAGATCACCGTTGCCTTTTTGTAAACCTTCAAGTCAATGTAAGTCCTCTGACTTTGTTCTTTTTTTTTCAAGATTGTTCTGACTATTCTAGATCATTTGCATATTGATGCAAATTTTAGAAACAGTCTCTCAATTTCTTTGAAAATTCCTCCTGGGACTTGGATTGGGATTGCATTAAATATCTAGTCTCTATTACCTAGAGAGTCTAAAAATGTATAGACCCTATAAACTCCACAGCTTGTGGAGAAGAGATATCTTAACAATGTCTTCCACTCCGTAAACATGGTATATCCCTCTGTTTACTTAGATCTTTCATTTCTCTCAGTAATAGTTTGTAGATTTCATAGTAGATATCTTGTACGTCTTTCAAAGGATTTATACTTGGGTATTTAACAATTGAAAATCTGGATTCGACACCTCCATGCCCCTCTCTCTTACTTCTCAGCAGAGAACTCCCCCTCCCTCAGCTTAAGCAGAAGGCTTCAGGACAGACCTGAGACCTGAGTACTTGAGACAATGACCTCCTCACTTTGGCTCACCTCAGGGAGCCGTCCGCTATATTGGGGACTCCTCCTTGGCTTCGGTCCTGTCCCCAGCCCTCCGCAGGCCCTTCCCCTTAAATGCAGATGTGGCCTCCCTACCTAGTGCAGGTTGACTCCCTCCCCACCTTACTCTGGTGTATGTTGCTCTGCGCCTGAAGCGGGCATAGGAGCAGCACTGGCGCGCCACCTCCAGGCTCTGCAGGTCACTCGGCCACCGCCCACCGCCCGGGAGCTCGCGCTCCCCGCGGCGCTTCGCCG